AAAAAAAAAAAAAAAAAAAAAAAAAGTGAATCGTAAATTCAGAAACCCCAAACGGGTGGGCAGTGGGGGCCCCACTGTTGGCTGTGGAGCCTGGTTTAAATTTGTTCTCGTTATCTCAGTTTACATTTTGGATTTTCGTTTTAATTTTACACTTTGACATTTCCTACAATTTTCACTGTGTGTATGTTTGTGCACTGCGCCTGGGTTTCTGGAAGGAAGGAAAGAAGACTAAGTAACTGACGTCTGTCTGTCTGGGTTTGTTGGCCCCTGGGTACTGCCCACCAGGCGCATCCAGGCCCAGTGACTGCAAGAAACCTGACTCGGCTTGGAAGGGGATGGAGCCCGTCAGCCCCCAGATGGAGATCAAATCAAATTAGGGCCGAGTTGGGGAGGAGGAGGGCTAACGGCGCTTCCTGGAAGCAGAGCCGGAGAAGTCCCAGGGGAGCACGGAGGAACGAGGAGGTGGGGCTGCGTGTCTCGCCCCCCCACCCCCACCCCACTGTGCTCCCTGCAGCGGGGCCGGGGGTGCCAGCGGAGGCCAGCTTAGGGGCTGGGGGCATCTGGGGCGGTGGAGGTCCTAGGGTCACTCTCATGCTTGGGGATGGGAAACCTGAGCCCCTGGCCCTGGTTCTTGAGCTGCAGCCCAGCTCCAACTGGAAAAGCTGGTTTCTCTAAAACTAGAGCTGGATGTCACAGGCATTTGAGTGACCCCGGGAGCTGACGAGCATAGGAGAATCTGCAGGGGGGCTGGGTGGGGGCTTCTCAAGGGTTTGTGGCTCCAGTGAGTGGTGCTGGTCTCGTTGGCAGGTGGGGAGGCCAGCTCTGACTTTGGGAGTGACGGGGTCACAGGTGAAAGGATCTGTGGGAGGGACTATGCCTCCTCAGGTCTGTGCACCATCATACCCGTTGCTGGGGAAACCACCGTCCAACCAGGTCGTGGTGTCTTCAGAGCAGGGCCTGGCCAGGCAGAGCTGCTAAGTGGAATGACCACTGTAGCATCCAAGGCCGTAACCAGATTACTGGTAGGCCTGATCCAGCTAGTGCCGGCTTCCCACACTCCTCCAACCTCGTTCTGCCCTGTCCACCCCTGTTCCCCAGCACCGAATTCCTTCCTCCACCCCAATCCCCATTTGAAATAGAGCCGCAGGGCCTGGGCGGGCATTTTGGTGTGAGCCTAAGCTTTCGTTTTCCTTGGGTACAACTCTCATCGCCTCCCTCCTGGCTTTCTTCCTCCTTGAGAGGTTTGGGGTCTAGGAGGAGCCTTTTCCTGTATTTTGAGGTTTGGGGCCCGGGATGAGCCCTGCAGGAAGCTGGTAAGTGCACTGCCTGAAGGACATGCTGGGATGAGTCTAGGGGTCCTTGTGCGCTCTCAGCCTGTGTGTCCCCCACCTCCACTGGCCCCCAGGTCAGACATGACTGTAGCCTGGCTGGACGTGGGGGCAGCAGACACATCCACACACTCTGCACGCAGGCTGGCTAGAGGGGCGATACGGAGGGCCAAGCACACCAAAAGAGAGACCCCGTGCGCAAAGACCTGCCATTGCATGTTTGTCTTTTTAAGAGCCTGAACATGCTTTTCCCCGAAGACGAGGCCAGGAGGGTCTGGTCACAGCTTTATTGGATTCTGGATGTGTGATTTCCTGGCTATGAGGTGAGTGAAGGGTCGGGGTGGGGGTGGGGGGTGGGGGGGAGGAGCAAAGAGCCTGGGAGGAGAACAGCTAGGGAGAAGGTGGAGGTGGGGACTTGCCCCCTACAGGCCCCTGGGCAGCTGGGGGACAAGATGGACAGGCCGGGATCAGGTGCCGTCCCCTTCATGTCATCCCACTGCCTGGTTGCACGGGGCCCTTTGGCTGCTGGTTTTGCTGCGACGCAGTGTTGAGGTGTGTGGGCAGGGCCCAGGTCCAAGGTCCAAGCCATGCTGCCCTGGGGAGTGGGGCGCTCCTGGGGCCACAGACTTCAGGGGCCCCCAACAGGCCCAGGTCTTCAGTGCAGCACGACAGAAGGTGCGAGTGGGCTCAGAGCTGGGCCAATCCTCGGGCGTCTGTGAGAGCGCAGTCCTGTTGGGAAGGCTCAGAGGTGCCAAGCCCTGGTCCTGCACCCCGCTTGGGAGCATCCACCATCTGCTCAGACGGGGCAGAGGTGGGGCAAGGCAATGGGGGTGGGACAGCCCAGGCCTGGCTCTGCCCCTCACCTTGCGGTTGGCCAGCCTGGCCTGGGTCTGCGGAGCAGGGATAGGGTGGGGGAGGGCCCTGGCCCAAAACAAGGGCCAGGGTCACAGGCCAGCTGCCTGAGGAAGGCCCTGGAGTACACACCTTGTCAAATTTCTTATGGCTGTAGACCTTGTTTTTGTTCATGAACGTTAGCAAGATCCAGTCGCACAGGAAGGAGCCCTGAGACCAGCAAGACCAATGCGTAAGAGCCTGGCACCTGCCCCCCCGTCCCCCCACCCCCCGTGACCCTAGTGTGCATCCCTTACCACCCCGATAGAGGTCAGCGCTGTGGCCAGGTTAATGATGGTGGGAATCAGGCTGAACTTCCCTGCCTGGAGGCAAAGAGGCTGCCTGAGATGCGGGAGTGGGGCTCAAGGGAGGCGTGGGGTGTGGTAGGAGAGATTGAGGCTGGGCCAGCCCAAGCCTCAGGTAGGCAAGGTGGGCTGGTTTACCTGTCCGTGCACGATGACGTCAATTCGGATCCCGTAGGCTTTGATGAGTGTGCGGGTGGTGGTACCGTTTACTTTGTAATACTTGGCGAACCTAGGGCGGAATGACCCGGAAGCACGTCAGAATCTGGGAGGGAATGACCCGGGTGCAGGAAACCTGGCCACCTGACCCTGAGGAGCATGACGGGGGGTGCACCTGTTGCCCAAATGGGGCAGCTCCAAGACTCAGCCGACCACTGGCGCCCCTGAACCTTTGGGCACCTGCCCTGTTGACTCCTGGACCGCCACGGCTAGGGCAGACGAGGACCCAGTGTCCCAAGGCCAAGGTACCTGAAGTTGTAGCCAGATGAGGCTGGGACATGCTTGGGGTCGAGCCTCCGGAAGGAGTATTTGGGGTTGCACTTTGACGCCGACAGGTCCAGGTCACAGTCCCAGTTGATAATGACCCCAATTACACCACCCTGTCCAGAAGTGGGCACAGACACGGGGTCAGGGTGGGCTCACAGAGAGGACCTTCAACAGCCCCAAGGTCCTGCTGAGGCTATGTGTGGGGTGCATACTGTGAGGCACCCAGGGCAGCTCAGGGCAGAGAGCTGGGGAAGGGGGCTCGTTGAGTGCCCTGCTTCTGAGGCACAAGGGGATGCCAGGAGTCAATAATTTAGCAGGAGCCATGCACACCCAGATGGGTCAGACGATCGTGTTTCTCTTTCCTCTGCCCGAGCAGGGCCAGGGCTGGCCGAGACTGCAGACGGACTCGGCTGTAATGAGACCCTTTGTGTGCAGGTGGGAGCCAGCACCTGGACGGACAGCTGTCCCACCCACTCTCCCTGGTGCCCTCACCGAGTGTGCCAGCTGCGTGAAGTTTTCCCCTGCCTGCTCCACGATGTAGCCCAGCTTGAAAATGGGGCAGTAGAGGTCAGAGACCTCATGGAATGTGCAGTGTTTCAGGTAGCCATCCTTCCGGTTCTCGATGTTGCCCCTAAAGACAAGGCCTAGTGGCATCAGATGGGGAGGGAGCAGAAGCCGTGCACCCCCAAACAACACATTCCAAGAGGCAACCCCCCCCGCAGCCCATCCCTTGTCGCCACGCGCTAATGGCTCTTACTTGGAGAACTGGAATTTGGGGTAGTGGATGCTGTTCTTGATGAGGATGGTGAAATTGGGGGCCATCTTACCGAGAAACTGGCTGAGGAGGCACAGACCGGGTGTGTTTAGTCTCCCCTTCTCCCGGTCCCCCCCAGGCTCCCCTGCTGCGCTGCCCCTCCCGTCCTTCTCCCCCCACACACACCCCGACTCCGGTCAGGTAGGAGAAAGGAGCAAAGGAGCTTGGCCCCAGGTGGGTGGGGACAGCGGGTGTGCACACCTGACTGAGGCCCCGTCCTCCACCGGGCACCAGGCGGACACCTCGCAGGTCTTGGAGGACCCGTGGTAATAAGGCACGCAGCGCCCGGTCCGCAGGCCTGTGGGCAGACGCGCGCTCAGGTGGCAGATGCGCCCTCAGGGGCGCGGCCCGCCCCCGCCCCCAGTTGGCACACACTGACCGTTTCCCAGCATGTCCAGCTGCCCAGCCACGCAGTCCTCGTCCGAGTCGCACGTGGCGTTTCTGATCCTCATACTCTAGGGAGGAGGCTGCTTGGTCAGGGGCCCGACACTCTTTTCCCCCAGGCACAGCGGACCAGGCAGGGCCCCTCCCTCCCGCCCCGGCTCTGCTCTCTACCCGACCTCACCTCGGCGCAGGTTCCGAGGGTCTGGAAGGGGGTGACCTCGATCCTGGTGATGATGCTGAACACGCTGCCCCCCTGGGCTCAGAAACAAGGGACGGTCGGCCGGCGCCGGGCAGCTCGGCCGCCGCTCGGTCCCACCCTCGGGGTGCTCGGAGCGGGGGGGGGCGGGGCCCGAGTGGCGCACCTCGGGGGGTTTCACGTACTCCTCCACGTCCCACACTTTGTTCTCGGACGAAGTGATGCCCTTGACCTTGGTGATGACGGAGCTCTCGGGGCCCGTCTCCCTGTCCTGGTAGCTCTTTTGCACGATGAACACGTACCTGTGCGAACGGGCAGGGCCGGCTCTGGAGGCGACCCCGCGGCAGGCCCGGGACCCCTCCCCTGCCGAGTCAGCTCGACTCCGGCGGGATCGAGGCTGCGTCACCGTCTCTCGGGGGCCGGCCGGGTAGGCTCTGCGGCGCCCGAGGGGCCAGCCTGGCGGCGGCCGCCAGCATTCTCCTCGCCCCCTGCCCAGAGCGGCCCCTCCAACCTGGGACGTCCCGGTGGCGCCCTCCCGTACGCTCCTGACCCCGCTGGACACCCCCTGCCGCCGGGTCTCCCCCCGTGCGCACCCACCACACGAAGTAGAGCAGAATGAGCAGCTGCACCGTGCGGTACACGATGCCCAGGCGCCGGTTCTTCACCACGATCACCTTGGGCGTCTCGTAGTCCCAGAACGCGGACCAGCAGCTCCGGGCCAGGCGTCGGGCCGCGGCCGTCCCCGCGGGGGTCTTGGGCTCGGCCGCCGCCATGGCCCCGAGCTGCTGGGACAGGAAATCGGGCTGGGGGGCGCCGGCGTGACCGCCTCCCGGGCGTGGCCTCGCGCTCCCCGCCCTGTCCCGCCTCGCCCCGCCCCAGGTCGGTCCCCGAGCCGCGGGGGCGCCGGGCGTAGACACGCAGCGCACCTGGCAGGTGTCGCCAGGTGGGGCCCCGAGCGGGCAGGGTCGGGGTCGCGGCAGCCGTCGCCCCCAGCCCGCTCAGGGAGGGCGCGAAGACGGTGCAGGCCCTCGCGTCCCTCGGGAGGACACTTAAAACTCGGGGGGAAGACGCGGCAGAGCACTGCCCGCCTCCTCTGCGTCTCCGCCGGTGTCTGATGCGCAGCGCGCACTAAACCCGAAGAGCAATCCCTTTAAAAAAATATATGTATATTTACCCAATTTTGTTGGGGTACAACCGACGCGTGAAGTTTTGTAAGTTTAAGGTGCACAAGGAGATGATTTCCCAAGAGCAATCCTTGATTCGTGCCCGCGGTTCCCCGCAGCTCGGCAAAGGCACCCCTGCCTCCAGGGTTCAGACAAAAACTCTGGATCTCTTTCTTTGCCCTAACAGTCCTCTTGCTTTTGTCTACAGACACACGTCAGGGCTGTTGGGTTCTAGCCCCTTCCCCCCCACACAAAGCGCCCCGCCGCGTTTCTCACCTGGATTTCCGCACTCTAGGCTTCTACCCATTTCCGTCTCTTGTTTTGTTTCCTATACAGCTCGGAGGAAACATGTTTTTGTTTTGACTTTTTGTACCTCTACCCCCACCTCATTATTTTGGACCAAATCCCAGACATCGTACCATTTCACAAAATGATAAATGTTTTACACATTTTTGAGGTGAAATTCACATAGCATTTAATTAGCCGTTTTAATGAACAATTCATTGAAGTTTAGTACACTCACAATATTGTGCAACCACCATCATCTACTTCCAAAACATTCTAATCATCACCAGATAAAACCCCATGCCCATCAAGAACTTCCCGTCCCCCTGCTCCTTGCACATACTGGCAACCACCAATCTACCTTCTCTCTATGGATTTATCTACTTTGGATATTTCAAATAATGGAATCGTAGAATATTTGCCTTTTTGTGTCTGACTTCTTTCACTTAGCGTAATGTTTTCAAGGTCCATCTGGGTTGTAGCATGTGTCAGTACTCCACTCCCTTTTATGGCAGACCAATATTGCACTGTATGGATATTCCACAATTTATCTGTTCATCCACTGATAGACATTTGAGCTTTTATATTTTATATTTTGGCTATTGTAACTAGTGCTGCTATGAGCATCCGGGTACAAGTATTTGAACAACTATTTTCAATTCTTTGGTGTATATGCCTAGGAGTGGAATTTCTGGGTCATATGGTAATTTTGTGTTTAACTTTTTGAAGAACCATCAAAATGTCTCCCAAGCAGCTGAACCATTTTACATTCCAGTTAGCAATATACAAGGATTCCAGTTTCTATACACCCTTTTCAACACTTGTTATTTTCCACTCACTTATGGCCATCCTAGTGGGTGAAATTATATAATTTATTTGGATTAATGTCTATGCAAGTCCCTTGCCCATTTAAAAAATATTTATTTATTTGGCTGCATCGGGTCTTAGTTGCAGGATCTTTCGTTGTGGCACCCGGGCCCTTCGTTGCAGCACGTGGGCTTCGCTCTAGTTGTGGCATGCAGGCTCCTCTCTAGTTAGAGCACAGGCTCAGTAGTTGCAGCGCACAGGCTCTCTAGTTGTGGCATGTGAGCCCTAGAGCATGCAGGCTTAGTTGCCTCGTGGTATGTGGGATCTTAGTTCCCAGACCAGGGATTGAACCCATGGCCCCCACATTGGAAGGCAGATTCTTAACCCCTGGATCACCAGGGAAGTCCCACCTTGCCCATTTTTTAATTGGGTTAAAAAATTTTGCTGTTCAGTTGTAAGAATTCTTTATGTATTCTGGATAGGAGACCCTTATCAGATATATATGATTTTCAAATATTTTGTCCCATTGTAGGTTGTCTTTTCACTTTATTGGTAATGACCTTTGATGCACAAAAGTCTTTATTTATTTTGCGGGATTCAGGCCTCTCACTGCTGTGGCCTCTCCCATTGCGGAGCACAGGCTCCGGACGCACAGGCTCAGCGGCCATGGCTCACGGTCCCAGCCGCTCCGTGGCATGTGGGATCTTCCTGGACCGGGGCATGAACCCGTGTCCCCTGCATCGGCAGGCAGACTCTCAACCACTGCGCCACCAGGGAAACCCAGAAGTCTTTTATTTTGATGAAGTCCAATTTATCTATGTTTTCTTTTGTTGTTTCTGCTTCTGGTGTCATTTCTAAAATCCACTGCCAAATCCAAGGTCATGAAAATTTACCCCTGTTTTCTTCTAAGAGTTTTATGATTTTAGCTGTTATATTTAGATTGTTGATCTATTTTGAGTTAATCTTTGCTTATGGTGTGAGGTAGGGCTCCAACTTCATTCTTTTGCACGTGGATGTTCAGTTGTCCCTGCACCATTTGTTAAAGAAACTATTCTTTACCCACTGAGGGTCTGGCATCTGTGTTGAAAATCAATTGGCCATAGACATAGAGTTTATTTCTGGGTTTTCTATTCTATTCCATTGTCCTATCTGTATTATCCTTATGCCAGCACCATACTGTTTTGATAACTATAGCTTTATAGAAAATTTTGAAATTGGAAAATGTGAGTCCTCCAACTTTGTTCTTTTTCAATATTGTTTTGGTTATTCAGTGCCCCTTGCAATGCCATATGGATTTAAGGAGCAGCCGTACCATTTCTGCAGAAAAGGCCATTGGAATCTTGATAGGGATTGCATTGAATCTGCAGTTTGCATTGGGTAGCATAGCCATCTTAGCAATAGTAAGTCTTCCAATACATGAACATGGGGTGTCATTACATTTATTTACATCTTCTTTAATTTCTTTAAACAATGCTTTTTCATTTTTCTTATACAACTCTTTCACTTCCTTGGTTAAATCTATTCCTATGGTTTTTTGGTTTGTTTTGGATGCTATTGTAGAGAGAATTATCTTCATTTCATTTTCTGATTGTTCATTGATGGTACGTAGAAGCACAACTGATTTTTGTGGGTTGAGCTTCTACCCTGCAACTTTGCTGAACTCATTTATTAGTTGTAGTAGTTTTCTTGTGGATTCTTTGGGATTTTCTGGATATAAGGTCCTGTCATCTGCAAACAGAGACTTTCTTTTCTGATTTGGATGCCTTTTATTTATTTTTCTTGTCTGATTTTTCAGGCTAGAACTTCCAGGATTGGTGTTAAATGTTAATTTAACTTCCTTAAATGTTAACTTGTAAAATTTAGAAAAGGAGGGAACACATCTCAACTAATTCTATGAAGCTAGCATTGCTCTGTGGAAAAAAAAAAAAAAGGAAGACATCACAAGAACAGACTAATTCCTTAAAATATAGATGCAAAAATTCTCAAAAAATGGGCTTCCCTGGTGGCGCAGTGGTTGAGAGTCTGCCTGCCAATGCAGGGGACACGGGTTCGTGCCCCGGTCCGGGAATGATCCCACATGCCGCGGAGCGGCTAGGCCCGTGAGCCATGGCCGCTGAGCCTGTGCGTCCGGAGCCTGTGCTCCGCAACGGGAGAGGCCACAACACTGAGAGGCCCGCGTACTGCAAAAAAAAAAAAAAAAAAAAAACTCAAAAAAAAAGCAAACCAACTGTTAATTTAATATCCAAAAATTAGTTATATACCATATCAACAAAATAAAGGACAAAAACCACATGATCATCTCAGTAGATGCAGAGAAAGCATTTGACAAAATCTAAAACATTTCTTCATGATAACAACACTTAACAAACTAGGACTAGAAAGGAAATTTCTCAACCTGATAAAAAATAGTATCTACAAAACACCCACAGCTGATATCATTCTTTTTTTTTTTTTTTTTTTTTTTTTGCGTTACGCAGGCCTCTCACTGTTGTGGCCTCTCCCGTTGTGGAGCACAGGCTCTGGACGCGCAGGCTCAGCGGCCATGGCTCACGGGCCCAGCCGCTCCGCGGCGTGTGGGATCATTCCCGGACCGGGGCACGAACCCGTGTCCCCTGCATCGGCAGGTGGACTCTCAACCACTGCGCCACCAGGGAAGCCCTGATATCATTCTTAATGGTGAAAAGAATAAATGCTTCTCCCTAAGATCAGGAATAAGAAGGGGTTGTCCTCCCTTGGTGCCTCTATTCAACATTGTCCTGGAGGTTCCAGCCAGGGCAAGTAGCAAGAAAATGGGGACAAAATTAAAATAGAAATAGAAAATCCTAAGGAATCCACTAAAACGTATTAGAACTAATAAGCAAGTTCAGCAAGGTTGCAAGATGCAAGATCAATATGTAACCGAGTAGGACCCTGTGGGTCCTTCCCGGGACAGACCCTCCCCTGTCCTCTGCCTGCCTCTTGTCTGTAGAAAAACTTTAGCCTCCTAGGCCTTCCCCTAGTTCCAAAGAACAAATTTAATCAGAGAAGTGAGAAAATGCAGAAAGAAAAGAAAACAGTCAAACAAGACAAAATAACAATATTTCAGCCATTAAACAAAGTCAAGGGCCTTTAGTTCTTCCTCGAGGGCTGTAGATACTATGCTGAGCCGTGTCCTTGAGCTGTTTTGCAGATACTGAAACCCCCACCAGATGGAGGAAGTTAACTGTATGCTGCCTACACGCATGTAGACCCCAGAATGGCTGGAACCTGAAGGTTGATGATGTTGACCCCCAATTACCTCACCACCAACCAATCAGAAGAAGGTCCACGAGCTGATCACCCACCCCACAACCTCCCTCCCTCACCCTGTCTTTAAAAACCTTTCCCTGAAAGCCTTCGGGGAGTTCAGGTCTTTTGAGCACTAGTTCCTTGGACTCCTCGCTTGGTACCTGCAATAAATGCTGCACTTTCCTTCATCACAACCCGGAGTCAGTGGGTTGGCTTTACTGTTTGCAGGCGAGAAGACCCAAGTTTGGTTCAGTAAAAAATATATAGGGGGCTTCCTTCCCTGGTGGCGCAGTGGTTGGGAGTCCGCCTGCCGATGCAGGAGACGCGGGTTCGTGCCCTGGTCCGGGAGGATCCCACGTGCCGCGGAGCGGCTGGGCCCGTGAGCCATGGCCGCTGGGCCTGCGCGTCCGGAGCCTGTGCTCTGCGGCGGAGGAGGCCGCAGCAGTGAGAGGCCCGCGTACTGCAAAAAAAAAACAAAAACCAAAAAACATACATATATATATATATATATATATATATATATATATGGAATTCCCTGAGGGTCCAGTGGTTAAGACTCTGCACTTCTACTGCAGGGGGGTTGGGTTCAATCCTTGGTCGGGGAACTAAGATCCTGCAAGCCAGGCGGTGTGGCCAAAAACAGAAATATATAAAAATCAGTTATATTTACAACACTTGCAATGAGCAATCTGAAAATTAAGAAAACAGTTCCAGGAACTTCCCTGGTGGTCCAGTGGTTAAGAATCCGCCTTCCAATGCAAGGGATGTGGGTTCGATCCCTGGTCGGGGAACTAAGATCCCACATGCCTCGGGGCAACTAAGCCCCCATCCCCACCCCGCACTGCGACTAAGACCTGACAGCCACAAATAAATAAATAAAAAGAAAAGAGTTCCATTACAATAGTATTCAAAAGAATAAAATACTTAGGAATAAATTTAACAGGACTAGTGCCCACCTTATCTGAAACC